CACACCACTGCCACACACCACTACCATCACAACCACCATCAACCACAATCAACCATCACCAACCACAACCACTATAATCAACCACCAGCAACCACAACAATGAACCACTACCACAATGCCACCACCACCACCACACAGAGGGCTTGGGATCAGAGCGTCAAGGAGCCGCCCTCACCATCAAAGGATCGGCGCTGGTCAAGAACCTTCCACACTGACCAGCGGATTATATATATATATAGGAACCCGCTTTCTCTTTTCTATTTTTTTGACATCTGAGTCCTGACCATTACCCAATCCGGCTCCTTTGACGGATTTCCTTGAATGACTGACCCGGAAAGGCCTTTTTTTACACCTTGGTATCTCTCTCTCTCTCTCTCTCTCTCTCTCTCTCTCTCTCTCTCTCTCTCTCTCTCATTACGCTATAACAATTAATGACACTCTGCTTTCCTACTCAGGTGATTGGTGAACGCATACACAGCCAGGGAAGTGATCCATTTGTGTGTGTCTCTGTTATCAGTTGAAAGATTTACTGAGGTGCTAAAGGTGTACATTCATATTGCCAATCAACCCGAACATGTAAAATACCTCCTAGCATCAGGGTCTGGTTTATATGCAAATACTCCCAGACGCCATGAAATGATTTGTTCCACCACACTTGTTTAGCCAGATTACGAGTTTATTCCTGAAAAAAATACTTTCCCTAAGAAGTATATGTGGTATAGAATGATGTTTATCCAGATAACGAGTTTATTCCTGACAAAAATCCCTAAGAAGTATATGTGGTATAGAATGATGATATATGAGTTTTCTATATCACGATGTTATATATGGTTATAGGTCAAGCTTGCTATATGTTCCTAATGTCTAGTAAGATATGTGGGTTTTTTTTTATATACGTGTAATAATGGAGTTAACTTAGTTTATAAAATGGCTTAAAAACACAAAGCCTAAAGTGACTCAATACTTAAACATAAACAAGGTGTTAGGAAAGTGACCATAATCATGTTAGTTATATACACCTTGATAGTGTAATTAACCTGCTTCATTATCATCTCACACACACACACACACACACACACACACACAGACACACACACACACACACACACACACACACACACACACACACTCTAAATTAATCTCTGAAATACAATGACTCATCAATATCAATTTTTATCCTAGATAGAATTTGCTATACTTAAGCCAATCTCTTCGTATACAAAACTACTCAACATACGTACGGCAGATATACACCTAAAAAACATACTTAACGTAGTCATACACAATAATAGAATCAAACTGCTTTATATACCATCTCTCACACAAGGGGCACACAAACCTGTCTCAATCTTTGCCGCAGCGAGAGTCTTGAGTAACGTAGCGTCTCTCTGTGATAATAATTCCTTAATTGGTTTACGTGTGTGAATACCGTGTGGTGGTGGAGAGAAGAGGTAAAGGTAAATACACCTTCAGTTAGTGAGGGAGAACATGACAATGCTATTTTTTTTTACCTACAAGACAGACAGAGAGAGAGAGAGAGAGAGAGAGAGAGAGAGAGAGAGAGGTACAAGTAGATCGATGGATGAAGATGGAGGTAAAGGACTTTTTTCTCTTGTCTTTCAGATCTAAAACATTATATAATTGTCTCCTCTTAATAGTAAAAAGATCAATTTATCTTTTAATATTTTACTGAGTTAACGAGCCACGACATCCAACAAGCTGATAGAGAAAGAGATAAATGGGTTGTTATTGTTGTTTTTATTTTGAACTTTTGAGAGCCACACCGTCCCCCCCAAACTGGTTACAAAGAGATAGGGGGAATTTGTGTTTGATTCTGAGAGCCATACCACCTAACAGCGACATGGGGTGGAGGGGGGCAGGGCTGGAGGGTGGAGTGGGGGCTGGTGGATCGGGTGGAGGGAAGGAGGGCTGGTAGGTTAGTGGAGGGAGAGGAGTGGCTAGTGGGTCGGGGTAGAGGGAAGGAGGCTGTAGGTTAGGGTGGAGGGAGGGAGGGCTGGTGGGTCGGGGGTGGAGGGAAGAGTGCTAGGGGGTTAGGGTGGAGGGAGGGCGGAGGAGGGCCAGGTCAGTAGAGGGAAAGAGGGCTGGTAGGTTAGGTGGAGGGAGGGAGGGCTAGGGTCGGGGTAGAGGGAAGGAGGGCCAGGTTAGGTGGGAGGGAGGAGGAGGCCAGGGTCGGGGTGAGAAGGAGTGCTTGCAGGTTAGGTGAGGGAGGGAGGGCTGGTGGGTCAGTGGAGGGAAGGAGTGCTGGTAGGTTAGGTGGAGGAGGAGGGAGGGCTGGTGGCTGGGGTAGAGGGAAGGAGGAAATATAGGTTAGGGAGGGAGGGAGGGAGGGAGGTTGTGGACTGGGGGTGAGGGAAGGAGGCTGGTAGGTTAGTGGAGGGAGGGAGGCCAGGGATTTGTGGAGGGAAGGAGTGCTGGTAGGTTAGGGTGGAGGGAGGGATGTCTAGTAGGCCGGGGTGAAGTGGGGGCAGGTGTGTTGGGGTGGAGTAAAGACTCCTGGACTCAGGGGATGATGGGTTCAAGGGTGGGGAACAGGTGGGCTCCGGGGAGGGTGAGTTGATGGAGGACAGGTTCAGGGAAGGTGAGCCAGGCAGATGGTTCAGGGAGGGTGAGCTGGTGGGCTCAAAGAAATAAGTTCAGTAAAGAGGGCCAGGGGAAATCAGGTGGGCTCCGGGAGGTGAGTTGATGGGGGATGGTGGTTCAGGGGAGGGTGAGCTGGTGGGTGACAGATGGGTTCAGGGGAGGGTGAGCTGGTGGGTGACAGGTGGGTTCAGGGGACGATGAGCTGGTGGGCTCAAGGCAGAGGGGCCAGGTGGGTTCAGTGTAGGGTGGGCTTGCGGCCTCAGGGGAAGGTGGGCTCAGGAGAAGGAGGGCTGGTGGGTTCAGGAGAGGTGGGGCTGGTTGGCTCAAAAGAGGGATGGCTGGTAGGCTCAGGGGATGGAAGGAAATGCTGGTGGACTCAGGGGATATGCTTCCCGTCTGTGATGATCAGCCAGGCGGGACACAGAGCTTCACAACTCAGCGGGACTGTGGGAGAGAGACGGTGTTTTCTGTGTCGAGACGAGAGTACTCGACTATTTTTTTTTAATATACCTGTATATATATATATATATATATATATATATATATATATATATATATATATATATATATATATATATAATATATATAATATATAATATAATATAATATATAATATATAATATAATATAATATAATATAATGTGTATGTGTGTTACGCTAAATAAGCTTTTAAGGGCAACTGACAGTTTTGCCAAATGGATATATATTATTTTTATTACTACAACTTAATAAAAAATAATTCTTATATATTAAAATTTGCTGTTTCATATAAGACGTCGTTTACTATCAGAAGATCTCCAAATTATACCTCAAGTACATTAGGTTATGTCATGTATAAAACTATTCATTTATATGTTCTGAATTTTGGTATCTACTGTACATGATCGTCCATGACGAGGCAGAAGGTCCATGAAAAGATAAAGTATGTACAGTAGAATTTATTTCTAACTGGTAATTGTCGCTATTTGGTGTAACATGTGTGTGTGTGTGTGTGTGTGTGTGTGTGTGTGTGTGTGTGTGTGTGCACTAATAAAAGAAAAACACGAGGAGATTTCTGGAAAAGTTTTAGTACAAAAATAACTTCAGTTTTTGATCAGATTAAAAGTGCGTTTGACTCGCCGCACCCATCCGTGTCGTTATCGGTGATTGGCTGATTCTATCGGGTCACCGAGTATCAAAACAGAGGTCCTCGCTGATTGGTGGGGCCTTGGCCAATGGGGAGGCTCGAGTGGCAAGTGGGGAAGCTATTCAAGAGCCGAGATATTGTGACTGTTTATTTGATTCAAATTTGAAAACTTATTCAGCGATAACGATTTAATTACAGTGCCAGGTAACCGCACAACCACAGCTTTAGGTGTACTCTAGTTGCCGGTTTAAGGACAATTACATGTGCAGACTGAAGTACAAATACAGTGTAGGTACAGTTAATGGTTTAGGTACAAGTACAGGCTTAGGTAGGGAAGCGGCGATCTAGTGGACACAGCACTCGCCTCCTGTACTCTGGGTCGCTGAATCGATCGTAAGGTACCCATAGCCTTACCAATTGTAAATGGATACCTAATTTTACAGTTTGGGGAGTGAAGAGAGTCGAGTGCAGTGCCCTCTTCTGGACCGACGGTTTAGTGTACAATGTCCCCAATGTGCCGTCAGGTCTGAGATAGTTCAATTACAGGTTAATACAGGTACAGGTCAAGTGCAAATACAGATTTAAGTTAAGTTTATATATCAGTACAAGTATAAGAGCGAGTGTGAAGATAGTGGCTCTCTCTCTCTCTCTCTCTCTCTCTCTCTCTCTCTCTCTCTCTCTCTCTCTCATTACGTCAGTCGTCCTCAGTTTTAATAAGCCCATGTTCGGCGGCCATTTTTACTTTTCACTCTGAGTTGCACTTGTGAGTGGCGCTTCTGAGTGATATTTATGAGTGGCACTTCGGAAGGAATTTCAGCTCCGTTGCGTCAGTACCACCATGTTTTATCATATTGGTGCATAGGTTAATATAGGTGTCTGATTTTATGTGATGGTGAATAATATTATCATAACCCTTTGTGATTCTATGTGACTATGTGATGGTAAACAATATTATCATAACCCTTTGTGATTCTATGTGACTATGTGATGGTAAACAATATTATCATAACCCTTTGTGATTCTATGTGACTATGTGATGGTAGACAATATAACATGGCCTTATGTGACGATATGAGTTACACAGCAAAATCCTAATCAGTTTTAGGGCATGCTGTGTAACTCATTATAACATGGACCTACATGACGCAATATGACATAGTACATCATAACATATTCCTATTTGACGCTATGTGACGCTATGTGACGTTATGTGACGTTTCATGAGGTGAAGTAACCCTCTGTAACGACCACCATCTCCATGTTGGTGTTTCAGGTAGAGTGGCAGCACAACGGAACACAGGTGACCATCTCAGGGCCACGGGGCGGGGTCAGCATCCACACGGAGGCGGGCGTCGGGGTGGTGACGTCACGGCTGTCAGTGGTGCGGGCGGCGCCAGGTGACGCGGGGAACTACACCTGCCACCCACACACCGCCCTCCCCGCTACTACCACAGTCTTCATAGTTGATGGTTAGTCACATGGAGTGAAGGCCAGTAGACTGTGTGTTGTGGTACATTATAGTTGTGTGGTACAGTATAGTAGTGTGGTACAGTGTAGTAGTGTGATACAGTATGGTACAGTATAGTAGTGTGATACAGTATGGTACAGTATTGTAGTGCGGTTCAATGTGATACAGTATAGCAGTTTAGTACATATGGTACAGTATAATAATGTGGTACAGTGTGGTACAGTATAAAAGTGTGATACAGTATAGTAATTTAGTACAGTATTGTACAGTATAGCCTAGTACAGCAGTGTGGTACAGTACAGTAGTGTGGTACAGTGACAGCGTCCCCGTTATTACCCAATAAGTGAGTCGGTACACATCCTGCTGGATAATGTAGTGTTGTCTGTACAGTATTTTGGTGTGTATACGAGTATGCGTGTTTGGTTGTGAAGGTAGGTGTACGCGTGTGTACCTGCTGGTGCATACACACACACACACACACACACACACACCATCAGATTGAATAGAAGCTTTAATGTCATACCTTTCCATTTTATCTGAAGGGTCCCTCGGTACACCTCTAACTCTCCCTCATGGTCACTGCCTCTCTCCATCACAACCAATCAAAACTTCCTCCAAGTAGTCAAGAAGTCTTTTACACAATGACAATTCCTCCCGTAAGTGTTCTCAAAACACTCAGAACACACTAATATATTTTTATCAGTCGCAGTCTTTTCTTAAAGTGTCACTTAAGGAGGGGAAGAATTTACGTTCTCAGAGTATAAAGGAGTAAACGGCATCGTAAAATACGGTAATGTTGCCATGGTGACCACTCTGATAAACCAATCACGTGACAGAATGTAAAGGAGTTTTTAAACGCCTGATTTTGGATTTTTTTTTAAGTTGTTTTGTGTTTTATTTGGTAATATATTTCTCCAAAATTATACGGAATTCTTTGCCTTTTCTCTCTTCTTTCTTTTACATTAAAAATTAATTCTTGTTATTTTTCTCTATGATAAACCAAGCACGTGACAGAGATTTTTTTAACGCTGGATTTGTAGATTTTTTTTTTCCTATTTAGTATAAAAGAGCTAAAACCCACCTGAGGTATTGCTTATTCTTGTCTCTTTTTAGATGAGAGATTATATTTTGTTTTTACTTTTCTTTCTGTTTTACATGAGTCTGGTTTAAACACGGGCTGGTCACCTCTGCTATGAACACTACTGTGTGTGTTAAGGTTGTGTGTTGCTGCCACCACACGTCCTGGTACATTATGTAAATTCAAAACATATATTCAGTAGTAACAGTACAAACGCTGGTGCAGACACTTACAGCCAGCAGCAGTATAATATTTTAAAGAAACCGTATCAAAAATCCATTAAGCTTCATTCAAATTTAGATACAAAACATTACAGAAACAATAGTACTAGCACAATTACAGGTGAAGGTACAGGTACAGGTATTTTTTTAGCTAATAGAAGTATCATAATATCAATAAAAATGTATCTAAAATTGCTTAATTTATATTCAAATTCAGATTCAGTTTTCAAACATTTAACAGGAGACAGCACAGGTACACGGGTTCAGGACAAACACTGATACAGGTATTTCTCCCAAGTGTATTACCACAAACTGTGATTTTGGCTGAGTGTTTGTGACCTTAACTATTTACCAACATACAAATGATCCATAGCGTATGAGACAACAACAAAAACAATCTCGGATTAAAATCATGTCGCCGCGTGTCTGCGTTTCCATGAAGTCGAAAACATGTTATTTCACCGAAGATCCTCAATCTCCCGTGGTTTAGATAATGGATCGTTACGATTATCATACTCGCGTGAGGTGCTGCGAGGATCAACGTCTCTGCCAAGTTTCAACAAAATCTATCCATCCGAGGAGGAGTTATCACATTGGTACGACGGATACTTCCACGGTCAGGTGAACGACACGCTCGAATCCCTAACATCCTACGAACGCCGCAAGACGACTGGACGAGAGATAACCCGGGGAAATGGGGCGAGAGTGAGAGAGAGCAAATTACAACCCATTTAATTTAATGAAAAAGCATTGTCACGTAATGGGACAATTTGCATTAAAATCAGCGCACGCCCAATGTAAAACGCCCAAGTGAATATCGGGTCATATCAGGTCGTTATTACCATAATAAATGAATATGAAATGTAATATATTTTCCACTGAAGATAATGGGCGTGTTTTTCGTTTTTCCATTCAAATTAGAGGAAGTGTGTGACCAGAGGTAAGGTGCAGGTACGGCTTTAAGTACACATACGGTACAGGGTACGTGTAAGGCTTTAAGTACACATACGGTACAGGGTACGTGTAAGGCTTTAAGTACACATACGGTACTAAGTACTTGTATGGCTTTAAGTACACATAGGATACAGGGTACACGTCTGGGTTTAGGGAACATGTAGGGGTTTTAATACAGGTTCAGATATAAGAGAGTGCCAGTGCAGGCGAAAAACGTTCGTCTGGCGTAACTTTCAAAAGGTGTTCAGTATTGGTTGGAGAATGGAGCGGCAGGCACTGTTGACTGCTGGTGGAGGCGCTGTGAGGGGACACCTGAAGATAGAAATGTCTTACCAATATCTTAGGTTCATACGAGCAATCAGCACCGCCTGGCGAATCCCCTCCATCCTCAGTCGAACGTTCGCCTGCCTCTCCTCCACCCCAGAATGACACACTTAAGGAAACTACGCCAGACGAACGTTCGACCGCTTACAGAGGGCAGTAGCCTCTCTCCTGCCTGAGGCGTCTTTCTCTCCCCGTCTTGACTATGTTTATGGAGACATTTACACACACATTTACATCTTATTAACATTTACACACATATCGTATACATTTACACACACATTTTAACCTTATATTTGCACACGCATTCACAACCTTATTGATATTTACACACGGACACACATTAACCTCTTTTTTTTAACATTTACACCCATATTTACATATTATACACATTTACAACCTTTATACATTTACATTACCATTTACACACATTTACATCGTATAGACATTTACACACACATCACTATTCCGCGCTAAGAGTTGAAATAATTTAACCAAACACATAAATTTGTTTCCAGTACGACTTAAATTTTCTTTGACTGATCTGAACGAGTTGTTTACAAATATACCGGGACTTGTTGTTGTTGTTGTTGTTGTTGTATCTCGATTTAGGTGTTCCAGTTGCAGTGTACGATGATATAACCCCTTGAGTATGATGATTCAACCCTTTGTGTACGATGAATTAACCCCTTAAGAATGATAACTTAACCTCTTGAGTACGATGATTTAACCCCTTGAATACGATGATTCAACCCCTGGAGTATGATAATTTAACCCCATGAGTACGATAACTTAATCCCATGAGTACGATAACTTAACACCATCAGTACGATAACTTAACCCCATGAATACGATGACTTAACCCCTCGACTACGATAACTAAAGTACTAAGCATAAATATATCCCATTCGTACATTCGTAAAGCTTAAGAAAAATAATTAAAAAATAAAAAATTCGCCCTCTATAAATTTGATTCTTGGCAACACTATTTAATAATCATGAAGTACGATACGTTCTTACCACACACGGCAGCACATCGAGTTACGCTTCACAATTAATACATACAACTGCACTGCCAGATGTACACCTAAAGCTAAATACTTCATGAAGTTAAGAATAGCTCATTAATTAATTACCCTTATTACCCCTTAAATATCTAATTCCCCCTCCCCTGACCCATCCCCCTACCCCCTCCCTTGGCCTCCCAGACCCATCTCCTCACCCCCTTCCCCCTGACCTCCCTCACCCATCCCCCTACCCCCCTGACCCCTCAACCCCCCCCTGACCCCCTCGTCAAGGTGTCTCATTATACCTCATTATAACAACAGCCTAAAAATCCTCACAGTGGAACCGTCTTGGCACGTCACCCAGCCATACACACCATTAGAGGCAGATGGCGTGAAATGCCTTTGGAAATGCCTTTGAGAATTGATGAGTGAGTTTCCTTTACAAACTTATGATCAAAGACTCTTACCCCCCCCCCACAGCCATCTCTGCAATCTCTCTCTCTCTCTCTCTCTGTCTCTGTCTCTCTCTCTGTCTCTCTCTCTCTCTCTCTCTCTACTTCTCTCAGTCTCCTCTCATCTTTCTCCTTTTCCTCTTCCCTTACGACGTCTCCTTTCCACTTTACTCTAATTTCCTCTCACCTCTCAATTCTTTTATCCGTCCCTCTCTCCACTCTTACTCTCACCCTCCCTTATCTCACCCCTGCTCTCTCTCCATCTCCCCACTCTCATCTCCCTCCTCACCTCTCCCATCACCCCTTCCCTTTCCACCTCACTCTCAATTCTTCCTTTTCCACCTCACTCTATCTGCCCCCTCTCACCCTCTTACCCTTCCCTCCTCCCTCACCCCCACCCCTTCCCTCTCACCTCCCCCCCTCCTCCCCCTCTCCCCACACCTCACCCTTTCCTCTCACCCTCCCCCCTCTCCCCTCACCCCTTCCCTCTCCACTCCACTCTCCTTCACCTCCGTCTCCTCTCTCCCCTCACCCTTCCCTCTCATCTTTTCTCCACCTTTCCCTCGCCTCCTCACTCCCACTCGCCCTCTCACCCTTACCCATCCCATTCATCTCTCCCTCACCCTTCTCCCTCTCGTTTCACCCTCTCCTCTCTCCCTCACCCTTCCCTCTCCACCTCCCACTCAACTCAAAGCGCTTGGATCACCCGTTGTCACTCTCCCTACTTCTGGCTTATCCATCCCAGCGTTTCCACATGAAACTATTGACTAGAAAAATCCTCTCGTGATTTCTGTGCAATTTTTTTTAGTTCCTCTTGTTTTTGTATTATTATTATTATTATTATTTATTTTTTTATTATTTTTATCTTTATTATCGATTTTCTTATAATTTTCCTTATCAATTATATATACTTTATTGTTCAGGTTTTTTTATTACTTAGTTTATCTTCTTTATGTTTTGTTTATGTTTTTATTTGTTTTGTTTGTGTTAATTAGGTAATATCCTTGTATCTTTTTATTTTCTGTTTATTTATTTATCTTATTTTTATTTATGTATTTCCTTCCTGACTCTCCTCATCTCTTCATTCCTTCAGTATAGTTCCTTCATGTGTGTGTGTGTGTGTGTGTGTGTGTGTGTGTGTGTGTGTGTGTGTGTGTGTGTAAATATGCATCAATGCTTGTATGGGTGTACATGTGTGTTTATATGTGCGTTCGTATATGTGTGTTTATGTGTATATATGTGTTTATATAAATGTGTGTTCGTATATGTGTTTATATATGCGTGTATATGTGTGTTTATATATGCGTTCGTATATGTGTGTTTTTATGTGTGTATGTGTTTATATATGCGTGTGTATGTGCGTTTATATGTGCGTTCGACTATGTACGTTTACGATGTTTTTCTTCAAGATTTAATGTGTTTATCAGAATAAATTGGAGAAAAGTTGTCCTGATCATAAAGGTCATTTTCCTTTGTGGTGAGAATGTGACAATAGATATGAACGACTCAGTGGGTCGTGTGAGAGCACCTCTGACCCTCCGCCACCACAACCACTGAAATAACACCACTGGCACTACCACCACAACCACTTGCAACACAACTGGTACCACCACAACCACTTGCAACACAACTGGTACCACCACAACCACTCTGCAACACAACTGGTACCACCATAACCATTGAAACAACACCACTACCACCACAACCACTGAAACAACACCACTGGCACTACCACCACAACCACTGAAACAACACCACTACCACCACTCCCACAGCGCTCCACTTCAAGCGTTTCCGAACAGTGTTTACCAATCCTCCCAGGTTTTGCGTCTCTCCCACGACCACAACTTTCAATTTCATTCATCCATCCCAATTTCTGCCTTCCTTTTGTCCCCCAACCCTCAGTTTTGCTTATCTAACCTAACCTAACCTATCAGTAAACCCTAACTTCAACCTTCTCCTGTGGAATTCTACCTTGTGAGGGCGTCGATCAGTTGTATGCTCGAAGTGTTCACGTTTCTCACTTGTACCGTACAACTAAAAGTAATGTTCCGTTAGGTTAGGTTAGATTAGGTCAGGTCAGGTCAGGTCAGGTCAGGTTAGTCTCCAAGATTATTGAATACAGTATTTGCTTGAGCTAATCGTGTTTTAATTTTTCTCACACTTACCATTGCATTTTATAGTTGTTTTAGGATCCACTATTATTTCCATTTATTTAAATCAACTCTGATCTTCCATAACTTTTATTTCAAGGTTTATTTTTGATGTGGACGTAATCATTATTTTCGTCTTTACATCGTTAACTCATAAAGTATATTATTATCCTCTTTTCAGTAATCTATTGACCTGTTTGTGAAATGCCTCTTTAGTAACTGTAATAAGAGGAGTTCTTTTGTATATCGAGTTATTTATTTTACTTTACCGTCAGCTTTTATACTGTTCTCCCTTCCGGCAACGTCTCTCTTTAAAAATTCATAATTGATGTTGATATGATTAATTTATTTTTAGTCGTAATATATCCACCATTATTATGTATTTCACTTCAAGGCAGCATATTGTTATTAAATTCTACTTTACCAATTTCATTTTCAAAGTCCATGAAACATATACACGAATGCATATGAACTTCTAAAGCTTTTCACTTACAAATCTCAAGCCAGAGTTAACGAAAAGAACTCTGCCTGAGTCTGCCCAATATACCTGTACACAGCTAGTTACTCTCGGGTTAACAAGAATAATACCCACATTTATCTCAGGCTATTCTTACCACCTGAATGTAGTGATAGTTAAATAATTTTCAGTAATGATATTTCAACCAGTCCAATTATTGTCCATCTTATTTCAACAGATCTCAAGATGTTCTACCGCAGCCTTTACAACTCCTTAATATATCCTTACATTCCAAATTCATATTCTTAGTTTATGTTTCCTCATGTAGTACCGAAGATTTCATATGGCTATTCATTGCCTAAGGCTTTGTTTTGCACACGCAGTAGTACGTATTAACTCTCTGTGCTACACTGCCAGCAAGTATGTGAGGCAGGCAATGTGACTGGTCTCATAAGTGATATAACTCTAACAGGAACAGCCGAAAATCGTCTATAATTCCTGTCCATGTTTGTTCTAGGACAACACTTGAAATTGGTGGGTAGGAAGCACAATGACTTTCATCACCAGAAGAAAAAGCTGGGAATGAGTTATGGAAGGTAGAGGTCGCTCATGTCTCACTCTGGAGATGAACCATGCAGCCCACTACAACCAACAACAAAATCACTGTACCTGACTATAACCGCTCCAAACACTACATATATCTGTAAAAACCACTGAACTCTCTACCACACAATATATAATGGTTGCCCCTAGTGTACCAGGATGGCCGGCCCTAGGGCCACCTAGGCGGGAATTTGTTTAAGGTGTAAAAGCTGTCGCCAACACAATAACCACACCCTAAGTTAACGAGTTGCATGACCCAGTGTCAAGGACTATTCCGAGAAGACCGGACAACTCGCCAACTGCACTGCCTAACCATTACCCCGGAACACGATCCGCAAATCGATTAACATCCTGGTTCCCAATTACTGCTGGGTAGACAGAGGCAAATGACGTCAAGGAGCTTGCCCATAGTTTCACCCTGCCAGGGAATCGAACCCGAGTCCACTCGCTTGAGAGGTGAGCATACTGACCATTGTACCACATTAAAAACAACCACAACATCATATCTACTGTCATATTTTACAGCTTTCTAAACCACAAACACACATACATCTTCGTCTGTGTGAGTGAGAGTGCCAGACAGCCGGACATAAAGATAGAGACAGAAAAAAATCTTAACCAACAATGACCTAGAAATTCCGATTCCATTAATTCCGCTTAACAAGTTTTTCATTGTGGTAATAGCCGCGGAAGAGACCAGCCAGTGCCCAATTCCCTGAAAATTGCCCGTCACTTCCGAGGTCCAGTGGCGACAAATTTACCGAAACCCATCACTAAAGTAGACTACAATTTTACACCATATATAATACTGAAAGTAATATTATCGTCCACCATTGCATCTCCTAAAAGATCATAGTTGACAACATACGTCAAGTAGTTATCATTGTACGTCAGGTAGTTAACATCATACACTTTTCACTAGGGAGTCAACATTATATGGCATGCGGTTAACATCGTCCTTGAAGCCGTTATTAAGCTAATTGTCTCCCAAAACAGAACAGTTCCCAGCAGCGATGCACCACGAGAGCGGGGCGGAGCAACACAACCATCATTGGCTAATCAGCGCCGCCGTCCTCCTGAACCTCGTCCTCTTCGCTGCTAGATGATGTGTCTGACCAATCACAACTCTGCATTTTGTACACACTGCGTTTTTGTATGCGTTGCTCTGACTACCCCCATTGTTTACTGTACTTTGTATTTCCCTGAGGATTTAAAGGTAACGTGAAGAGTAATATATGTGAGAGATGTAATTGTATATTATATATACTGTCAAAGGTATTTGTGTATTAATTCTTAATTAATATAATGTATTACAAGCCACTACAGCCTTTTATTGATGCAAACATATGTATACCAGTACAGTATTACTTGTTACTCACGCCGAGGTCGTGTTGGTACTGTAGTAATGTATACCTGTATATGTATATCCTCAGCGTATTTCAAAAGCGGGAAGAATTACAATGATTTTACTTAAGTGTGGTGGTTATAAATTAATTATCAGCTGGCTGGAGATAACTAAGGTTGGAAATGGGTAAACAATGTCTGGTCCTACAGTTAACAAAAAAAAAATCATAAATCTGCACCCCTGAGTGTAACGACCTAGGCACTGATTGAGGCCATGTTCATTTGGTAAGGTTGGTTCTTCTGATTGTGTGATGCATTGTGTAACCAATAATGTATTATGTATATCACGTATAGTTAATACAGAGAAATTACTAGGAATACATAATTATAAAACCCAAATATTTGTCAGAATTCTTCGCCCCAGTGTGTCATATTGTATAACACTGTAAAGGTGCAGAATTTTCTTTGTTAACCGTACATTGTTTACCCATTTCCACTCTTAGTTGTCTTGACTCAGCTGACAATCAATAACCACCACACACAGTAGTTCACAAGTGATGTAAAATAGTTCGACCTGCCCTCAGACAGAGAAGATCTCTGGCGGCAGGAAGTCACACCAAAGCTTACCCCCGCCTGAGTTTACCGGTTCTTAGTTAGTTGTTCCTGGTCTCTCATAGAGTCGCCTTCGTCGCTTCAGCTCAGTCGGTTCCTGACAGCTAAGTGTGGTTATTCATTTGATCACATTCATGTTACTTTTCCCATTTATTTTGAATTTCAATTGTGCGTTTCTTATATTAGTTTTCTTGTGGGGATTTATATTCTGTTAAAGCTGTGTTCCTTTTCTTTCACTTTGTTTCAACCGTGTGATTATTTTCTTTAATATAAGTTTATATGAAACGTATCCTTAAAGTTATCTACCCGTTATTGCTACGTCTTTCATTCAAAGAGCTATGATGTTTGACCTGGAAAAGAAAACTGAGGAATTAATTAAGCCTCACTACGAGTTACAAGAACTTGGCAAATTTAATGGCGTTAATGGAAGGTTCTACTTATTACAGTTCTTAGGCGATCCAAACCCCTAGACAGAGTCAATGAAATCCTGAATCCAGACAAAGTTTTCATGAAATCCTGAATCCAGACAAAGTTTTCAGTCGCGTACGTATATATATATATATATATATATATATATATATATATATATATATATATATATATATATATATATATATATCTTGATAAATCACGGGAAAAGAAACAACAGAGCTCCGTTGTTTCCCTTTCCATTTATCAAATATACGTTTTCATTGTGATTTACATGAAATATATATATATATATACATATATATATATATATATATAAATAAAGTGTGTGTGCCAGTTTTTGCGACTTTCCTTGTGTGCCTGTACGTTTCTGTCCATGTACGCACATGTGTGTACGCGCGCGTGTGTGTAATGTAGCACCACAGAATATGGTAATGCTGAAGAGTTTGTTGACACAGATGAAATTATAACTTGCCCCTTAACCCACCCTGCTCAAGCCCACCACCACCCCTCTAACCCACCATACCCACCACCACCCTAACCCTACCCACCACCACCCCTAACCCACCTACCCACCACCCTATCCCCACCCGACGTAAGCCACCCACCACCAGCCTAACCCACCATAACCTCGACACCTACCAACCTACTAATCCCACATCCACCCACCCACCCACCTTGTCTACCTACCTTGTCTACCTACCTGGGGGCATAGGATGAGAGGTACCACTAATATGAAGGGCGAAAACGGGCCTTAAAACCCGACAAATTGCAACCTATTACAGCTAATGGGGCCAGAAGCCTCCCAAGACTTTTTTCCACCTAACATTACGGCAACATAAGAGGTGGTGAGGAGGAACGTGGGAGGAGGGAGGGAAGGGGAGGGCGTAGGGTAGACAACAAGGTAGGAGGAGAGGGTGAGCAAGGGTGTAGAGGAGGCAACAAGGTAGGGAGAGGGGTTATGAGTAGGATGAGAGGGGGTGAGGGAGTAGGGAAAAGAGCAACGCAGGTAGAATGTTATGAGTGGGGTGAGAGGTGTGGGTGAGGTAGAAAAGGAAGATATGGGAGAGAGGGGAGGGGGTGTGTGAGGGGTAAGGGTCAGGGAGAGGTGAGAGAGAGTGAGAATGTAGGGCTGAAGGGATGAGTGAGGGAGAGATGAAGGACGGGGTGGGGGTGAGAGTAAGCGTTAGAGAGAGGTGAGGGAGTGAGAGACGGGGTGAGGGAGTGAGGGAGGGAGGATAAGTGAAGGGAGTAGGGAGAAGTACTGGGGTTAGGGGGTGGGCTTGAGTAGGGTGGGTTAGAGAGTGGTGATGGGTAGGGTGGGTTAGGGGGGTGGTGGTGGGGCTTGAGTAGAGTGGGTTAGTGGGGGTGGTGGTGAGTTGGTAGGGTGGGTTAGTGGGGGTGGTGGTGGGTAGGGTGGGCTATTGGGGGTGGTGGTGGGTATTGGGTTAGAGGGGTGGTGGTGGGTGTAGAGTGGGCTAGTGGGGTGGTGGTGGGCTTGAGTAGGAGGTGGGTTAGTGGGGGTGGTGGTGGGTAGGGTGGGTTAGGGGGGCAGTGGTGGGCTTGAATAGGTGGGTTAGGGGGGTGGTGGTGGGCTTGAGTAGGGTGGGTTAGTGGGGGTGGTGATGGGTGGTAGGGTGGGTTAGGGGGTGGTGGTGGTGGGCTTGAGTAGAGTGGGTTAGTGGGGGTGGTGGTGGGCTTGAGTAGGGTGGGTTAGAGGGGGTGGTGGTGGGCTTGAGTAGGGTGAATAGGATAAGTTAGAGGGGGAGCTATAATTTCATCTGTGTCAACAAACTCTTTCAACATTACCATATTCCATAATCTATGGTACTACATTACACATACACACACACACACACACACACACACACACACACACACACGGACTCTTACGCACACAAATAACTCCCATCTACCACCACACGACCACCACCACCACCACGCAAGCACCACAACCACCACATTTACCACCACCACACGACCAATGCCCATGCACCACCACCACCACACTCCCACAAGCACTCGGTACATTTAACAGAGACAAGTGATGTTCATTTTGGATGAGAAAAACTGAAAATTAAACCAGAAGAATATAAAAGATTTGCAAGAGGCCAAGTCATAGCGAACGCCATTGCAAAAAGGAGTGAATCTTGGAGACGTTTACAAAGCTTCTCTCTTTTACTTTTATCTCCTAACTGGTGCTGAGTGACAGTCTCCCTCTTGGATACAGTCTCAGTGTAACGTTGATGCCATTTTTAGCACGTAAGATATATAACTTTTAGCTTAAGTTACCCTGTTAGGTTCATTCTTACAGCTCTAGTTACTGTACGATCGTTTGAGAATCCTGGGAGACAGTTACAAATTCTGGGACATTAGGAGAGTTGTGGTTATGATGAGTGAAGCAATTTACACTTGTTAAGATGGTGAAGGGGTGCGTGTGTGTTCCAGAGTTGGTGAATCTTCCACACTACTGAAACTTTTCTCTCTGTAACTTGAGAATCTATATAAGGCCACAACGAGATGAACGTCCTTACTTCCTGCGTCCAATGATGTTTATTCTTCGTCTTCTATCCATTCTTTTTCTTTTCTGTGTATCATTATTCTTTTCCTGTCTGTCTGTCTGTCTTTCTTCTCCCTTATTTTTAGGGTGCAGAAGTGTAGAAGATTAAGTCCCCTCCCACTAAATCACCAGCCAATAAGATCACAGGAAAACAACAGGTTATATCCACTCTTGATAAGCTCCTTATACCCTAACAAACTCCGCCCAGTCTGACAAGCTCCACCCACGGCGACATAGCTCCGCCCACTACAAGTTCCACCTACTTGACAAGCTCCACTCACTGTGATAAGCTCCACCCATTTCAAAAAGTTCCGCCCACTCCGACAAGCTTCACATGTTCCAGCAAGCTCTACCAACTCACATTTTGCTTGACTGCACTTTATTCACGCTTAACTATTGAGGAATTCACCACTATTGGTTCTAACATCTTCAACAGTATAATAAAGTTAGGTTAAATTAGGTTAGTTTAAATTAGGTTAGGTTAGATTAGGTTAGTTTAAATTAGGTTAGGTTAGATTAGGTTAAATTAAGTTTAGGTTAGGTTAGGTTAGCTTAGTTTGGGTTTATACATAGGATGAAACTGTTCTGGAGAGGACTGTAACACGACAAGCCAAAGGGAACTCGGTGGATATGTTTGCTTGAGTGTCAAAGTGAGGGGAGCTTGTCGGAGTGGGAGGAGCTTGTCCGAGTGAGAGCTTATCTGAGTGGGAGAAGCTTGTCTGAGTGGGAGGAGCTTATCGCACTGGGTGGAACTTGTCGGAGTGGGAGGAGCTTGTCCGAGTGGGAGGAGCTTGTCGGAGTGGGAGGAGCTTATCGTACTGGGTGGAACTTGTCGGAGTGGGTGGAACTTGTCGGAGTGGGAGGAGCTTATCGGCTTATCGGAGTGGGAGGAGCTTATCGTAGTGGGTGGAGCTTGTCGGAGTGGGAGGAGCTTATCAAAATGGGAGGAGCTTGTCGGAGTGGGAGGAGCTTGTCTGAGTGGGTGGAACTTGTAGGAGTGGATGGAGCTTGTCTGAGTGGATGGAGCTTGTCTGAGTGGGAGGAGCTTGTCGAAATAACAATAGCTTGTCAGGGCGGGGCTAAGATTCTTGGAGTGGACAAAACTGATCAGAGTGGGCTGAGTATGTCAGAGTGGGAGGAGCTTGTTAGAGAAGAAATAGCTTGTCGGTTTGAGTAGGGTTTATCAGTGGGAGTAGCTAGTCTTCGGTGTGAGTGGGGCTTGTTAGAGTGGGCGGATCCTGTCTGAGTGGATTGAGCTTGTTGGATAATGAGTTACTTTTGTTGATGTGGTCGGAGTGGGGAGGAGCTTATCAGAGTGGGAGGAGCTTATCGGAATGGGTGGGAGTTTTATCGGAGTGGGAGGAGTTTGTCCGAG